GTAGTTGTGTTGGCCGGTTGCTTCTTCCTTTGCGGGCCATTGTGTCATGTTTTTTGTTCTTGTCCACGAAATTTTGTCGGCGTCGTTTTGCTTTTTGTCGGCGGAACTGTTCCGATTTTGTTGCGCGGCCCCGGCAGACGCCGTCCGCGGTGGGAAATGGCGGCGAGAGGGGGGCAGGCGAGCAAGGGGGGGAGGGCGAGGAGGGCGGGCGGGTTTTTTACCCTGCCCGCAATGGCTGCCCCGAGGCAGCCACGGTGCCGATGTCGATCCCCCCCTTTGGTCATCGTTCCGTCGCGTCGACTGCGCGGCAGCACGTCGCCATGGCTGGGTTTGCCTCGAAATCCTGCTGCGTTAGCCTTTCCAGCCCATCCAGAAACGATGCCCCGAGGAGATGACTCGATGCCACGATACCCAGAAGCGATGCCATGCGTGCGTGTGTGTACGTGTGGATGTGGATGTGTATGTGTGTGTGTGTGCGTGTGGTGTGTGGTGTGTGGTGTGTGGGGTGTGAATGTGAATGTGAATGTGAATGTGAATGTGAATGTGAATGTGAATGTGAATGTGAATGTGAATGTGTGCGTGTGCGTGTGCGTGTGCGTGTGCGTGTGCCTGTGCCTGTGCGTGTGCGTGTGCGTGTGCGTGTGCGTGTGCGTGTGCGTGTGCGTGTGCGTGTGCGTGTGCGTGTGCGTGTGCGTGTGCGTGTGCGTGTGCGTGCGTGCGTGCGTGCGTGTGCGTGTGCGTGAGAGAGAGAGTGTGTGTGTGTGTGTGTTTTGGGGGGGGGGGGCGTGTGCGTGCGTGCGTCTTTGCGTGCGTGCGTGCGTGCGTGCGTCTGTGCGTGCGTGCGTGCGTGCGTGTGCGAGCGTGTCCGGCCAATGCCGCCCTTGGAACCGCCCCCATTGGAGTCATCGGGACCCTTTCGGGGGGGACGGGCCGGGTCGTGTGGACCCAGCAATCGTCGTGAACGAGGGGTTGTTCCTTGGGGTGCTTCCGAACAGGAGGAGGAGGAGGAGGAGGAGGAAGAGGAGGAGGAAAAGGAAGAGGAGAAGGAGGAGGAGGAAAACGAGGGCGAGGAGGAGGAAGCGGAGGAGGTTGAGGAATAGGAAAGAAGAGGAGAACATGAAGAAGGCTGAGAAGGAGGAGGAGGAGAAGGAGGTGGGGAAGGGGGTTGATGCAACGCGGGGCTTGGGACATCCGTGCTCCACTCCACTGCTGACACGCATGCAACTCTTATTACTAAAAGAAGCAACGTACAACAACAAAAAAGGAAAGAGGTGCCAACCCATCCATCTAGCTGCCGATGAGCCAGTTGTTCAAGGCCGAACGTGCGGCCTCCCACGCCTCCTGTCGCCTACCCTCCTCGTCTGGGGGGGAGGCCGGGGCGAAGCATGATGGGGTGGGCACCTGGATTCTGCGTCGAGCCGCCCTTCTCTCTCTGGCGAGAGCGCGGTGGGCCCTGGGGAGCCATGCACAAGATCAGCGTACTGCTGCTCTGCCGAAGCCTCCTCATCCTCGCCATGCGAGGGAGGCACAAAATCCCGCTGAGGTTTGTCCTCAGCTCCATCTTCTTCATTGTCCGAATCCTCGAACCTGTGAATTTCAGGATCTACTCTACTAGTACCCTTGTGCGAGAATCCTGCAAAATCGGGAGCAGGGCTCTCCTGAGGTGGGCTAGTAGCCTGAAACGTGGCGTAGAATACTGCAAGCGATTCACGGATATCATCATCATCCTCGGGATAGTCCAGGTCTTCGCGGGGCGGGGTGGAGGACTCAGCCGAGGAAAGGAGAGACCTGGCACTATCCACGATGGCCGAGGCGATCGCCTGGCACATCTGAGGCGGGTAAGTCTTTTTAGAAGCCGTGTAAAAAGATCCCGAGGCCCTTTTCCCTAGAAGGGTCTGGTGAGAGCCTCTCGGGTGAGAACATCTACCGCCTCCTGGAGTGGCCTTAAGGAGCCTATCCATAGTGGGCATGCGAACGGAAAGAATAGTAGTGGGAGCACGGCCTATTTGCCCAGGGTCCACCTCGGGACCTTGGTGCTCGCATTGATCAAAGGAAGGGGGAGGGATGAGGGAGGGGGAGGAATGCGCGGAGGAGGAGGAGGAGGACGAAGAGGAGAAGGATGAGGATGAGGAGGAAACAGGCGAGCAGAAGAGCCAAACGCCTCTTGAATGCGATGTCTTTCCGAGACTCCTCGAATGTCTCGTGGAAGCCTTCTGGAAGCCTCTCGGAGCGTCTTGGAAGCCTCTTGGTGGTCCCGGGGGCCTCTTGGGGCGTCTTGGGTGCCTCGGGGAGCCTCTCGGGGTCTCTTGGGAGCATCTTGGAGGCTTCTTGGGCGCCTTTTGGGGCCTCCTGGGCGCCTCTCGGGGCCCTATTGAAACGCTCTCTGGAGCCTTGGGAGGGCTCTTGGGGCCATCTTGGAGGAGACCGATCAAAGAAAAGGGGAGAGTTCCCGGAGCGACTTTGGGGAGCGCTCTGGGGAACCCTTGGGAGCCTTGGGAGCGCTCGTGGGGCCCTGGGACCGCTCTTGGGGCCATCTTAGGGGAGATCGATCTTGCGCCACGTGCGCGCGCGCGCGCTCGTGCCCCTGGAGCGCCCAGGTCACGTCCGGACGCGCTGCGGTGCGATCCCGCCAACGCGCTGAGAACGGGCACTCGGGTCGTTCTTTCAGGACGTCTCGGGCGACTGGGGCCTCCGAGGCCCCAAGACCGTGTAGTGACGGACCGCGCGGTGAGGTTTTGGGGGATTTTCAGGTCACCGCACGGGCTGTCACCGCACCGGTTCGGGACTCCACATTGGGGCCTTTCCGGGATTTCCTAGGCCGTGTCGAGGCGATTTTGCCTCCTCTAGCGTCCGCGAGGGCCGCGGCCAGGGTCCGCTTCGGAACCCCAGAGGAGCGCTCTACGGCAATGTTGGTGGGTTCTTGGGCTGCTTTGGGGCCGTCGTCACGCTGCTTTGGGAGCCGTCGGGGGGGCGTGGGATGTCTTAGGTCCTTCTCGGGCCGTCGGTGGGCCTTCTTGACGGTCCCTTGGGCTGTCGAGGGCGTTCCTGGACGCCGATCGGGCCGTTTCGGGGCGGCGGAACTTGGGAGCGCACGCTTGGCCGCATGCTGATTTGCACTGCAAGCCGTCACCGCGCCGTTGAGTTTAGTTGTTGCTGCTGCCCTTAGTCGTCGATTCGCCCGCGCGTTAACGGTGCCCCGTGCGTGTTACAGACAACGTGTTGCGTGGCGTTGTTGTTGTTCTTTGTGTTGGTTCGAGCCTCCGTCCTCGCCTTGCGTTTTCCGTGGTTTCTATAGTTCCCTGGCGCATATCATTCGCATCGTTTTGTTATGTAATGTTTATTCGATGATTGATCTGTCGTCAAGTAGCGTTTCCGTTCGTTATTGTTATGTGTAGTCGGACGATAACGTTCGATTGTATGGTTATTTCGTTCCTGGTCATTATTACAGCGTTGATGTGACACCACCAAAAACATTGCCACCATTGGGCATGAAGCATGTCGTTGGCACGCATGCCGTCATGCTCGTGCGACTGCGTTTACATAGTCTTTGTGCCATGCATTTTCGTCTGGAACGCAATTAATGTTGCATCGCGTTTTGTCGTCGAAGGCTTGGCTGGGTAAGCGCCACGCCTGAGAGGAGGAGGAGGAGAAGGAGGAGGAACAGGATGAGGAGGAGGAGGAGGAGAAGGAGACGAATGAGGAGGAGGAGGGGCAGAGGAAGGGAAAGGAGAAGGAGATGAGAACAGATGAGAGAATGATGGGGGCGAGGACGAAAGCAATGGGGAGGCAAGGATAAGAAAGGGAGGACAGTTCGAGGAGGTTCTTCCTCGACATCTGCTTCGGAACGAAGCTTAGTTCGATTCGCTGTTCTCCCAGATGGCGTAGAGAACCACGGGGAAACGGGCCTACTGGAAGCCGCTCACTGCGGTACCCCAGCATACGTTACCGAATGCCCGGGGCGCACGGGATCCACAGCGCTACGGACAAGGTGCGCCGTGCACAGCAAATTCCGCGCGAGGTACACCGTCCTCGGTACGAACATTGCGACAGCTTTTGAGCGGTCCGACCGTTCTCTCCCGCCTCCCCTCCTCTTCCTCGGGGGGCCTCGGCATGGCTCGAGCAGGTGAGTGGGTGGCCTTTCTCTTCCTCTTCCCCACCCAGTTTGGTGCGGCAGTTCGGCCAACCCCTCCTGAAACCTCCCTGAGGAAGGTTTAAGGAAGGTCCTTCCAACAAAAACCCTCCTGAGGAAGGTTTTAGGAAGGTTCTTCCCAACAAGCGTTCCTGAGGAAGGTTTTAGGAAGGTTCTTCCCGAAAAGCCTTCTTGAGGAAGGTTTTAGAAAGGTTTTAGGGAGGTGCTTCCAACAGACCTTCCCGAGGAAGGTTTTAGGAAGGTGCTTCCAACAATAACCCTTCCGAGGAAGGTATAGTGGCCATTCTCCTCCTCTTTCCCGCCCCGCGCTCGGAACGGGGTGGGCCTGCCCTGGCCCCAGCCGCGCGCGCTCGCGTCGGGTGCGGGGCGGCGCCCACAGGGAACCGCAGAGGCGGCTGCGAGAGAGAGAGTGAGAGAAGGAGAAGCAAAGAAAGATACATAAGAAGACAGACAGAGAGACAGAGAGAGAGAGAGAGAACAAGAGAGAGAGAGAGGGAGAGAGACAGAGAGAGAGAGGAGACAGTGGAGGAGGGGGGGAGGAGGCTGGCGCACTCCGGTTTGGGTTGGGCTCGCCCCCCGCGTCGAAGAGGCGTCGCGCAAGCGCCGGCCGGGTCGGCGAGTTGTTGCCGCCTGCTGCGGGAGGCCGCCTGGTTCTTCGCTCGCGGATGCACCCTGTTTTCCCGACCATTTTCCGTAGTTGGGAAGCGCCCGCATGGCTGCGAGCGGGGCTGGACCTAAACTGTGTTTGGGCGATTTCGTGCGCCGTTTTCGTTTTGAGTTCGTGTTGCGGTAAGGGCGGATTGGAGACGAAACGAGGGGAAACGAAAACAAAAAGAACACGAAAAACACCGTTTAGGTTCAGCCCTGGTTGCGAGGAGAGCGCCTGGTTTTACTCCGCGGCCTGGTGGCGTTCCTGTTGCCACCTGTGCACCAGGCGATCGGGCCCCCCCCAGAGTCCGAGCCGCCGCTGCCAATCGCGGTCCGCCTGGACTGCGTGTTTGTCTTGAAAACGAAGCTTTAAGCTGTATTCGGCTGGTTTCATCTCACCTCCATCCTCCCCCATCCTCCTCCTACTACTATCGAAGACGCCTACGGCGAATCACCGCCGCTCCCTGCCCTTTCAGAATCGCCTATGTTGCCGAACGTTGTGACCAGAGGCCTGCCAAGCTATCGGACCATGTGTTCCCCGAATCGTTTTGGAAAGCGTTCGGGAAACACGGTCGGGGAGGAGGAAAGGGAGGTGAGGGAGACAGAAGGAGAAGGGATGAGGAGTCTTCTTGGGAGCCTCTTGGGCTACTCTAGGGTTTTATTGGGCTATCTCGGTGTTGGATGCATCTTGGGACTGTCTTAGAGGCTGTTTTGGGGTTATCTTGGGGTCTCTTGGGGCCATCTTGACCATCTGGACGCATCTCGAAGGTCATCTTGGACCATATTGGCAGTCCTGGAGGCGTCTTGGGCCAGTCTTGGAGGCCATCTTGGGCCGTCATCGGGGGATCTTTCGTGGACTGTGAGGTCCTGTATGGTCTCTCCGTAACTGTTGAGGCCCTCTTGGGGCCGTTTTGTAGGCCCTTGGGCCATCATGGGGCGATCTTGGAGGCCGGCAGCTTTTCCGGAAGAGCCTACGTGTCGGAACGTTGTGATTGCAAGTTGTTTTGTCTACTGGCCTGTTGGTTCCCCGAGTTGCGTTTGAAAGCTGTCGGGGAACACGAAGGTGATAATGGCTGCAGTGAGGAGTCGCCGCTGTCCTGGCTCGTAGGTCGTGGTGGGTTGTTCTGTAACGCGTAGGAATGCGTAGGCCTTGGCAGGGCGTCCAGAAGCACTACCGAAGTGTTTGCGAACCATACGTTGCGGCTCCTGTAGTTGTGTAATGTGTGGCAGCTGCGGTGTGCGCACGGTTTCGGATTCCTTGATTGGAGTTGTGCCGGGCAGTGAGAGGCGTGACACAGTCAGCGTTAGCACCCCTGCTTCTTAGAAGGCGCGGGCTTTTTCTGTAGATGTAAGCCCCGCGCCTTCTAAGAAGCAGCCTCCTTCTAAGAAGCCTTCCCCCCTCCCCCTACCCCCCTCTGCGCGTCGCCAAACAGGGGAAGCGCGGACGTTTCTTGGCGGAAGCCGCGGCAGAGGCGGCACCTGGCGATGCGCGTCGCGTAGGGCCTGTGCGGATGTCACCACCGGCATGTGTAGAGACTCGGTCCTGTCGATGGTCAGGTGGCGGGGTTAGATGGTGGATCTGAATGTTGCTTTTGTCGGGTAAGGCCAGGACCCCGGGTAAGGGAACCCGGTTAGTGGTAGGGCCCCGGAGCCTTCGAATTGGCCAGAATCACTAAACCAGGCTTGCCATAGCTGGTGTTTTTTCCGGTGACGGCAGTTCCGGTTAGTGGAAATGGGACGGGGGGGCGCCCCAGGTACAGATCATTAAACCAGGTTCCACTAAACCCAGTTCTACCAACGCCCGATTTCGTGGGCTGTCAGCGTAGCTTCTTTGGTCGTGATGTCGCGCTGCATCTTGTGAACACTCTGTGGAATGCCGCGCATCTCATCGTTAGTGTCATGGGTTCGCTGGGAGTACCTGTCCAGCCGGTGCTCTCAGTCCTGGATTCGTCGATGGTGTGCTTCGCGCTCTTGTTCCAAACGGGCGAGTGTTTCCTCTGCCCGTGCCTTTTCGGCGTCCCTTTCATGGGGGATCTGGAGGAGTCGCAACTGCGCGTGGTCCGCCGCCATCTGCACCTCGGCCACTCGGGCTTCGAGGGAAGCGAAATCGCAAACCGAAGTCGGGGTGCCCAGCTGCGCAGTCTGGGTCCGCGCAACACGCAACTCCGCCAGTGCAGTCCTTATTTCAGGACCTGCTGCTCGACCGTGGAGACTCGGTTCCCAAGCGTTGGCACACGCCCCTCGGAAGCGTCAAGACGTTGACTGAGGGCCATCTCGGCACCGCGCAGCTTGCCGTTCAACTCAGACGTAAGCGTGGTCTGTTGGGAGTGTGGTCATCTCGGCCTGGGTACGAAGTGCGTTGATGTCCTCACGTAGCTGTTGATCCGTGGGTCCATGCACTTCCGCAGGTGGGATCTGTCGGGCCATCAAGAGCTCATCGCGTAAAGTCCTGATGGCGGCAGTCCCGTTGTCTCTGTCGCTCGCAAGTTGGGCCTCCATCCGTAGGAGGTTGTCGTGAAGCGTCTGGATCGTGCTGGAGTCAGAACCTCGGTGTGACTCCACATGGTCAACTTGATACTGGACCAGAGTGATGATCGATCGATCCTCAGCGATCCGAGCGTCGACCAAGGCAAATGCTTGTTGAAGCTCCAGTCTGAGAGTGGCCGTCTGCGCGGCCAGACCTGACAACTGTTGGGTCGTGGAAGGCCAACGTGATTTCGCAGCTCCGCCATACCTCTGGCAGTGGGAGGGGGATGCGATACGACGTCGCGCTGTTGAGAGCCATGCCGGGGGCGTCTCTGTGATGGACTGCGGCTGGCGTCCCGAGCAGGAGAGCGAATGCGATTCCGTTCTGGGCCTTTGCGCTGAGATGTCCGCGCAGTGCGATTCTTTATGACACGCACATGTTCAGAGATAGACACGTGAGCGGGTGTCGTGACCTTAGCCCAGCGGCGGCTGCGCGCGGAAGCGATGTCTGGAGGCAAGGCCGCAGCGCCACCGCTGCGGTCGTTGCCACCGACGCCACTCGTACCAGCGAAGGTAGGAGTAGAGGAGGCAGGTGTAACGAATCCAGCCGCGTCTCCGAGGACAGATTGGACAATTGCAGGTGCTCCCACCGGCGCGCATGATGTGGATGTATCAGGCGCCGCGGGAGGCGAATCCAGCCGTGGTTGCGAGGTCCTCGGCGTGTGTTGTAGTTATCCCAGTGAAGCCGCTAGTGAGGCTGTGCTTCCTGCCCCTGGGAAGGGGGGAAGCGGGCATCGCGGATTGCCGCGCCTCCTCCACAAAGCCGTCGCGACCGCGCGCCGTCGAGGACGCCGCTCGCGTGCAGGCACTGCGCCCCGAGGGGGCAGCGACAAGCGACGGTGTCCACGATGACGCGAGTCGCAACAGCGAAGAGCGTGAAATAACAGGCTGATAACCTGTGGGCATAGGCAGACGACCGAGGGGTCGATCCTATACAGGTGTCCGCAGGTAGAGGCAAAGAGGGAAAGGAGTATGAGTTCCTTTTCCTGGGCGCTGCGCGGAGGGCAGCGCTCCGTGTCTGTGTATGCCAATGCTTGAGCCGATACAGTAGAGGTGTGCAGCGACATAATCTTCAAAACACATGTTGGGGCTATCTTGGGCTCTCTTGGGGCCTCTTGTGAGTCTCTTGGGGCCCTTTGGAGGCTTCTCGGGGGCCTATTTGGCCGTCTTATGGAGTTCCTGGCCCGTCTGACGCCGTCGGAAGCCGTCTTGGGGGGCTTCTTTGAACCGACTTGGGGTCCTCTTGGGGCGCTTCGTGGCTGTCTTGGAGGCCATCTTGGGCGTTTTGGAGGTCTCTTGGGCCGTCTTGGGGCCCTCTCGGGGCCGTCTTGGAGGCCTCTTGGACCGACGTGAGGCCCTCTTGGAGCCCTCTTGGGCGATCTTGGGGGCCTCTTGGGCCGTCTTGAGCCGTCGGAATGCCGAGAAGAAGCGAATGCCAGAACCCTTCAAAAACCAAAGAACATCAATGATGTTGGCCCCTTCGGACCCTCCTGGAGGACCTCTTGGAGGCCTCTTGGGCCGTCTTGGAGGCCTTTGGGGGGCCTCTTGGGCCGTCTTGGACTCTCTTGGGCCGTCTTGGAGGCCGTCGTGGACCATTTTGGGCGACTTCGGAGGCCATCTTGGGCCATCTTGGAGGCCAGCTTGGGCCAACGTGGCCATCTTGGAGGCCATCTTGAGCCGTCTTGGAGGATTGTTCTCCGGATGGAGCACCTTCCCGGGACCCCGGCGGGACGGGCCGAATACCCAGGGGGAGTTGTATTGGAAAAAAAGCCAACACCGAAACCGAAAGGATTCAGCACGCCAGGCACCCACGCGATGAATCGACAGGGGGCGGCGGATCGAAGACGCCTACGGCGAATCACCGCCGCCACCTGCCTTTGTGGAAGCGCCTATGTGGCCGAACGTTGAGGCCAGACCTGCCAAGCCATCGGACCATGTGTTCCCCGAATCGGTTTGGAAAGCCCTCGGGGAACACGTGGGCATCTTGAAGGTCATCTTGGCCGTCTTGGAGGCCTCTTCGGCGATCTTTCGGCGATCTTTGGGGGCCCTTGGGCCGTCTCGGGCCGTCGGAAGGCCGAAAAGAAGGAAATGCCAAAATCCGTCAAAAACCTAAGGAGAATTATGTTGTTGGCCTCTTCTGGCCTTCCTGGAGGCCCTCTTGGGGGCCTCTTGGGCCCTTTTGGGCCAGCTTCGAGCCAACTTCGGCCATCTTGGTGGGTTCCTGGCACGTCTGACGCCGTCGGGAGCCGTTTTGGGGGCCTTTCTGAGCCAACGGGGGACCCTCTTGGGGCGCTTCGGGGCCGTCTTGAAGGCCATCTGGGGCGTCTTGGAGGCCATCTTGGGCGTGTTGGAGGCCTCTTGGGCCGTCTTGTGGTCCTCTTGGGGCCATCTTGGAGGCCACTTGGGCCGTCATGGGGCCCTCTTGGGAGCCTCTTGGGCGATCTTGGGGGCCTCTTGGGCCGTCTTGAGCCGTCTGAAGGCCGAACAAGCGAATATGCCAAAGTCCTTCAAACCCCCAAGGAAAATCAATGATTTTGGCCTCTTCGGGTCCTCCAGGAGAACCTCTTGACGGGCTCTTGGGCTGTCGTTGAGGCCCCTTAGGGGCCTGTTGGGCCGCCTTGGGCCATCTTGAGGCTATCTTAGGCCGTCTTGGGTACATCTTGGGCCGTCTTGGTGGCATCTGAAAGCCATCTTAGCCGTCTTGGAGGCCATCCTGGCCGTCTTGGAGGCATCTTGGAGGCCATCTTGGAGCCGTCTTGGGCAGGAAAGTAGGGAATTGAGGTCCGTGGCAATCCTCCCGGGACCCCGGCGGGACGCGCCGGAGCCCCAGGGGGAGCTCTTATGGAAAAAGAACTAACACCGAAACCGAAAGGATTCAGCACGCCAGGCACCC